GGGAAGCCACCCTCCCCAAGAAGTTTAAGAATGCTCTGGCCCACGGGCGTTACGAATGCAGTGAGGTAAAGGAACGTGACTATCCCTCCCGACTTGCCCTCCTTCTGTCGCTGCTCGTAGCCAAGGCCTGGGACGGCGTTTGCACCAACCAGGCCTCCATACGAGTGGACGACCAGAACAATCTGCTTGCCTTGATTGGCTAAAGCCTCGAGAACATTGCGCAGCGCCGCAGCGTCATCGGGAATCCCCTTGGTGGGTGGCTCGGCACCGACAGACGGGTACGTGACGGCGTCAGTCTCCCAACCCCTGGCTTGCAATGCATTGCGAACGAGTCGGAACGAGTCTGGCGAATGCCATGCCCCTGGTGCGAAAACGATAGTCGGCTTGCGAGTCATGCTGAATCCGGTACTCAACGTTGGAAGATGAGGTGAGGAGGAACCTTGGGTGCCTCTCGTCCGTTGGTGGGTGGACGCACAGTACTTATAGCTGTGAACTTGACTTTTATCTAGCCCTGAACGATTTAGTCGAGGTAACGGTGCCTCTTGTCGCTTAAACTTAAGAATGCAGGGTATTAAGTAGTAGAAGGTTTATATAATAGGTTATTAAAGACTTATTAACTTAGCACTAGTTACTAAAAGAGCCCGATAAGACACCTGAATAAAATAAAGTAATATAAATTAAAAATAAGATTATTAAACTTGAGTTCCTATTTATTATTAATTTATAAATAAACTTAAACTAAGTTAATATAATATATATAATAAGTAAGTAAAATAAATAAGTAAGTAAAGTAGAAATCTCTTAATTTATATTATTTCTATTTAATTAATTAATTCTTAACTACTGAATATATTATAAGTAAAGAAAGAAGCTAATATTTTACTTTTTATTTAAGCTTTTTTAAATATCTTAAAATTAAGTCTAATATATTATAAAAATTAATAAAAGTAGTCTTATAACTCTTTAATATTAATAGTAAGATATTTTTTCCTAATATAATATTATCTTAAAATTTTATAAATTATCTAATTTAAAAAAAAAATTAAAGATTTAATTATCTTTTTAACTTAAATTTATAAGGATTTTCCTTATAATTATATAATATAAAGGAAATAACTAACTAATACCTTATTAATTATTATATATTACCTATTAATAAGTACTAAACTTTTAACTTTATTAAGTATTATAAAAAGCTTAAAATATAGTTTATTTATATATTTTTTACTCTTTTTTTTACTTTTAACCTTTTAAGAAGTTATTTAGCTTTTTTATTAATAAGTTAAATAAAAAGACCTTTATAAGGTTATTATAATAAAAGTTAATAGTAAATAAGGTTTATCTACTTTAGTAATATAATTACTACCTTAATTAAATAATATAAATACTAGCTCTTAGTAATTAAATTAACCCTCTTTCTTTAACTTATATAAAGGAATAATATACTTAATTTATCTATTATAAGAGTATAGGGATAAAAGGTTTATATATAGAGTTTTAAGATAAATATAAGGTAAAGGCAGGGTTTTATAAGAATTTTACTAAAGTTAAAATTAAAGAAATTATATTAAGTGTTATATAAGTTAATTAATAAAAGTTAAGTTAATTATAATTAAAAAAAAAATTTAATAAGGTATATAACTAGTTAACCTTATATATAAAAATAAATAAAGTAAAATTAATAAAAAAATAATAGTTTAAACTAGGGTTATTACTCTTATAGCTAATAAAGCTTTATTAAGTTAAATTATTATAATTAATTATTTTAATTATAACTTAAACTTAGCTATATATATATATTAATTAAAAAGCCTTATTTACTTATTAACTAGCCTTAACTTTCTTTTTATAACTTATTTATAAAGTATATTTTAATTATTTATTATATAATAAGTTATTTAACTTAACTTTTCCTTTTTTTATTATAATTATTATTAATATTTTTTTTTTTAAAAGTTTATAAGTTAGCCTTAAAAGGTATATTTAAATATCTTTAAAATCTAATATAGTTTAAATATTTATTACCCTTATAGCTAGTAAAGCTTTATTAAGTTAAATTATTATAGTTAGCTCCCTTAATTATAGCCTAAACCTAGCTATATATATGCCAGCTAAAAAGCCCTACTCATTAGCTAGCCCCAACCTTCTTCCTACAACCTACCTAAAAGACTAAGACAATACCACGCTTCAATTATCCATCACGCAGTAAGTCATCCGACCCGACCCGACTTTCCCTATACCTTCTGGCCGCAACCGCTAACAGCATCACAGCTGCCCCGTCATGATGCCTGTCTGAAGAAGCCTGCAGGCACCCAGGCCTAATAAGCCTTATCTGACTGAAGGCCATGATATGATCCTTAAGATTGAAGAAGCTCTTAGGCAAAATAAGGGTAAGGGTAATATATTATATATAATAGCTATAAATATTAAAGAGGCCTAGTTTAATAAGGATAATACTAGCTATATTAAGATAGTAATTTTTAATTATAAGATCTTTTTATTTATATAATCTATTTATAAAAACTTTTTAATTAATAAAGACTTTTTTAAATATAAAAAGTAAAAGCTTAAGGATTAAAAAAGAAAGTTATATAAAGAGATATAGCTAAGTAAGAGGGAAAGGGGGTTCCTTAAGGTCCTTAATGGCAGCTTATATAATAAGTAGCTTAAGGATATCTAGTAGCATGCTAAGGAGGTACTAGAGAAGACTAAGAACCTGTAATAGGCTAGTCATGGTCTTAGACCACGAGAGCGCGAGGGGGGATGTTATACTGCAATATCTGCTATAGATAGAAGCGGGGTAATTGCAGGGTTTAGAGGAAAAATGTAGTAAGTTTTATATAAGTTTAGTTACCTAAAGTTAAAGACCTAAAGTTATAATTAAATTTAGTATTAGTAGTAAAAAGAGGATTAAATAAGTTATAAAATAGATTATATAATTAAATAAGTAAATTAGTTATAATATTAATATATTATTAAAATAAATAAAGGACTAATAGTATTATATTTATATTATTATAATGTTTTAAAAAAGCTTATTATTACTTAAAGCTAATAAGGCCTATTATATAAAAAGCTATAATTTAAAAAAAAAAAATTAAATAAGGTTTTAAATAAATTAATAAAAATAATTATAAATATTAAAAAAACTAAATATTACAAGAAAAATATTAATTATATTAGGCTAATAATTCTTAATTATAAGATTTTTTTATTTATATATATTTTTTTATATAAAAGAATTTTTAATTAATATAGGCTTTTTTAAATTTTAAAAATTAAAACCTTTAATACTTAAAAAAGAAACTATATAAAAAGATATAATTAAGTAAAAAAAAAAAATTATTAGATTTTTAAGGCTTTTAGGTTAAGTAGCTTTTATAATAAGTAACTTAAAGATATTTAGTAATAAGCTAAAAAGGGATTAAAGAAAATTAAAAACTTATAAATCTAAAGGCAATAATATATTATAATATCTAAAATAAAAGTAAGGTAATAAGAATATTTTATAAAAGAAAATATATTAAGTTATATATATATTTAGTTTACTTAAAATTAAAGATATTTAATATTAATAATAAAAAGAGAATTAAATAAGTTATAAAATAAATTATATAATTAAATAAATAAATTATAATTATTATTTATATTTTTATATATTTTAAACTTATTATAGCCTTAGAATTTTATTATAATTAATATAAGTTCTTAGCTTATTAATATTATAAATTTTCTATATAAACTTAATTATTAATAAGCTATTAATATAAATATTAATTATTAAGTAGGTTTTATAGGCTACTAATAAGCTAAGAACTTATATTAATTATAATAAAATTCTAAGGCTATAATAAATTAAATTCTAATAAATTAAATATATAGTCTAAATGCCTAGCTATTAAGATTCCTATTATATAATAATTACATTAATATAGAGAAGTAAACAGATGCCGGGGTGGATCCATTTATCTGCCACGGTTTGCAAATAGGATTCTCCTAACTAGACAGGGCTCTAACGGCCTTTGACGTTTATAAACCTATTAACGCGTGAATTAAGTGGATAGCAGAAATCGGGGAAGGCTGGTGACATCACGGTTGTTGACGAGTTACGCGGGGTAGTGATGCTATACCCGCAACTTCGACACGAACGTCACATCATCAAGGCAAGGGAGCCTCGATGTCAAGACTTTATCTGCCCGGCACGCCTGTTGAAGCTGACCTGGTAAATTCAAACGTCCATGCTATGAGACAGAGCCGTCCTTGCTCAACATACTGATGAGAATTTCCACGATGTCAACTGAGGCAATACCCCGGTCGTTTTATGGGTTACACAGCAGCAAGTTTACAATAAGAAAGTCAAGGGGTATGGGGTGGTGGAGCTTGTACACACGTCATGGGAGTGAAGTGTTTGTTGAGATCCGTTGTTTGATGGATCAATGGCTATTCCGATCCATCGGTGGCTGGGATGTGGATGTCTTGTCAATATGCATTGAAGGATGTCAAAACTTCTTTTAGTCAAGCTACGCTGTGATACTGTACTATGCTGGAAAAGAAGTCCAAGAAATGGTTGATTATCTCTATACCACCATACTACCTACAAATTCCGATTCCTATTCTCGACGAGTTTCTGTAACATAGCATCAGAGAGGCTACTGATAAGCTGGACTGACCTATCTCTAGTCGCGATATTTCTTGCCCTTACTAAACCTCCACCTACTAAGATTATGGTATATTGACTGTTATTACTAATGCTGATATTCTCTATATCATATATCTGTATAGGGAAGATCTGCTTACTAACGTGGTCAGATAAGTCACTACCTACATACCGCATTGAGCCAGGTTGCATAGGATTTGTAAACTCCAAATCTTTCTTACGCATAGTTCCTTGTTGAGTTAAAATTTATAAGTTACTCTGATTTTCTTATAGGTACTCTTGTAGCAGAATTATAGACTCTCCTAGTAATTTCGTAGATTTTTCAAGCATCGAAAGAACGACGTTCTGAAGGCGGATGAGTTTTATTAAATTAATTATCGACGACTACACTATGTATTTTCCTTCCAAACTCGCCTTTGTCTATTTTCTCTTGTAGGCCTCAACCTCAATCTCGATTTGCATCTGGGGGAATGCAAGACGAGGAACAGCAATAGCCGTCCAAACAGGGCGGTGACCGGGAATACGCTTCTTTAGCTTCTCTACTAAGTAATCGTAAGACGCACCCATATCCACGTGATATGTGCGAATCAGAAAGACATCCTCCCATCCTTTAAGACCGACAGTCTGTAGAACACGGTCCACGTTCTCAAAAGCAAGGTCAATCTGGCCCTTGACGTCATTAGCGTCCAGCTTGCCTGTGTTGTCCCAGCCGCCCTGGCCAGAGCACTTAACGGTATCTCCGAGAACGACAGCCTGGGAGTAATGGCAAAGGTCGCTATGCTTCTGGCCCGCGCCCTCCTCGTTGTAGTATTTAAGCGACGACATCGTGGTAGATCGGAAAGTCTGCCTGTTGTTCAAGAGATTAAGGTTCTGCTTTGGGAAAAGATCCTAAAAAAGAACATACGTACTGGGTTTGTGGGTTAAATTTGGAGTGAAGATGATTTGATGAAATGAAGCCCAAATTGTTTCCTTGACGTTGGAGTCTTAAAAAGAGCTGAGCATAGTATAGAAGAGCAGACAAAACAGACGAGGGCCTTTATATCTTTAAAATACCAGAGAGCGCGGACCTGTGTTGTCACAAGTTCAATAGCAATGGCGATGTCATTTGCCGAACGGGCTTTCTTTCTCCAACTAAGTCGGGATTCTCCACCTGAGTCGGGATTCTCCAACTGAGATGCCGAGGGCGGCGCCTAGGCTCACGGCGCCCCAGAGGGATACAGTACGTTGTTTTTTGACCGAGTGGCATAAATGATGGCGGTTGTATAGGTTAGGCCACAGGAGATCATGTCGCATACAATGCACGACACTTTTCATTATCAAAGTGTTCAGATTGAACAAGAATTCGCCCAAGAATTATTCAAGCTGAGGCCAGTAGCATCGATAACCTGAAACTTCGGATGAACTCTCAAATCTGTCACTTGATGCATTTACTTGGATTTCCCCTTACAAAAAAGTTTATTAAAAGAAAAGAAAAAAAAAGAAGAAAAAGGGCGTGCTGCTTGCTGTACGTGGTGCTGTTCCAAATTCTACCTGTGCTCACCTGTTCAATTCTGCATATTTATAGAGCTTTTCGCCGAGTTGCTTAGCAAACGGCTTGTTCTGGGTGTCCACAAAAATATGTCCCCAGAACTTCAACAAGATTACAGCTACTTCTTTCGGTCCCAAACTCATGATTCTGTCGTCCATCATTTCCATGGAAGATGATGCGATTTGTAAAAGTGCTCGGACGTTATGAAATACTCCCATTTCGGCTTCAACGGTTAGCATCGACAGTACTTGGAGGGTGCACAATCTCGAGCTTGCCTTGAGATGAAACATTTCCATCATGCAAGTGACAGATCCAGGAGGCCAGAATTGTCACTGACTCGAAAACGGTCATAATCCTTTCAAGGCTCCAGCAACTGACCTGAGAACGTATGAAGAAAGTGACACCAGTATTTGCAGGTTCTTCTAAACAGCGGGCCATTTCATTCATGTCAAACCAGGAGCTTAATGCAAGGTCTTGGTATGGTCCAGGACCGTCTTGGACTAGAGCCGGTAGCTCGGCTGGACTTGGTGTATACATTGTCTGCACTTGGACGTGACCAGTATGGAGAACAGCCCGCGTGAGCGCGAGCTGCAGCAAGACCTCAGTATCATTAATAAGCACGCTCGAAGAATCCACCGTGGCTAGGACTCGACGACATTCCGCCACGATTTCGCTGTCAGGAAACTTTGTTTAGCAGTGCTTGTTTATCTGGTTCGGCTGCGGAGCGACAACCATGACGTAAAACAGGGACACTTACACGAGACGTCTATACTCCACGATGATGAGGTCGTCTGACAACACACTAGTTGGCATCTGACTTAGCAGGGTAACTCGATGTAAGAGGGCTGCGGCTAGAATGAAGAGAGATTGGATGGGGAAGTTTTGGAGTTGGACATCTTGCCGCGGCCCGGTCTTGGAGAAGAGGCTGTCAATTAATTCAGCCACAGTGCCGGAATAAACTTGGCCAACTCCAGGTTCTTGTCTGAATGCGTCAGATTTGGTCGAGTTCCATACCGTCTCTGAGCATGGAAATCTTAGATTGAGGCTCTCCAAGGCCACGAGAGTTTGAGGACTGCAGATGGATTGATGTGATAGTACTGAGAGAAACCCAAAGGCCTGTATCCTCTGGCTAGTTTCGGCTTCAACCCAGTCACGCCAAGTGGGTTCGGGTTGATTTCCCCGTGATCTAGGCTTAAGAAAACTGACTAGACCGCTCTGCATAATCTGGAGCTGCTGAAGTACGTCAGCCGGTTGCTCCAGCTTGACGAACTCTAGGAGTGATAGAAATGCGCTAGCTAGGTCAACAGGGTGGTTTCTAGCTTTGGTGTTAATTCCGCGAGCAATAGTTGTAGGTGTCGGAGCATGATTGGTGGATACTCACTGCTGCTCGAATAGGGTGCTGTCATGCCGAGGCGACGTCCACAGCTCCAGGGCTATGTCTCTGCTTGCTCTAAAGAGCAGCATGGCGCTATGTGCCTCAAAGAGATGCCATGCTCCTATAGCAAGTATGGCTAGACGCGCAACGACAGGTAGACGGTTGATGTCCGCACGAGGGTGAAAGACTTCAAACCTGCTATTTCTCATGAACGACTTCAAATATCTGACCGTAGTCTGTGCTGAGGGAGGGACGAAATTGGGGTTCTGGATGAGATAAACTTGGAACGTAGAATCCGACGGGTCTATGTTTTCTTGATAGTCCATGTTAGTGTCAGAGTGTATGCGTACGTCTTGCAGAACTGGAGGTAGCGTGGAATTTGACTGGATATCGCCTTGTGATTCATGGGATAAATGGCCCGAACAGTGTGGGATTCCAGTTTTTTCATGTTGGTTGAACCTATTGGGTCTGGAATCGCCAAGTAGAGGTACTAGGCCACTATGGACGATGAACTTCTGAAAGCTGGACAGGGGTCCATCTTCAGTGTCTGGTTCCAAATTTGACGGAACTAGAAAAATTCATCAAAAGTGAGTTGAGAGGTCCTTCGGGATGGATGGCACTCACGCATATCGGGATATTCTGGGGGTAACGGCAGGACAGGACCTGGTTTGACCACAGCATCACCTTGGGTGATGACCAAGGTATCATCAACTGCGACTTGACTTTGACTTGCAGAGATCGCTGTTGCAGGGGTTAACGTCTCAGGGGCGGTTGAAGATGCTAGTGTCGTCTCTCGGACGCCGGGCATTCCCTGGCTGTTGAGATCGGGCTTGGAACTGTTGGTGGCGGGTGAGGGTGAGGGTAATGGATGAACGAGCCTCTGATGGCGACGTAGTAGGTCTCGTCGGGTGAAGGACTGTCCGCAGTCACATACGTATGGCTTCTCATTGGTGTCTGAGGTGAGCACGCATTCTTTGTCAGTAGGACAGACATATCATTGCGTTGGAGAAGAGCCCCCCCCTTTGAAGTGGATGGAAGTGGGCGGACTAACGGATGCGTGTATGCCGCTGGAGATGTTCAAACTTGCGAAACCTAGATCTGCAATACGAACAATGGTGCGGCCTACTGGACCTGTCCATTCTACAGTGGGGGTGCAGAGATGCTGCGTCTCTGTAGCAATTCGTGTTATGGTTGAATACCGAACCATGGGGAATTTGCCAGACCTTCTCCAACGGAATCGGGGTTCTAAAAATTATCAATGGAGCCACCTGGCAATGGAGTGATGACAAATGATGTTTCCACAGCGACCAATCAGAATCTACTTAGAAAATGTTCTGACTTAATTGATTCTCCAACGCTAGACCGAAAGATCTTCATTCCAACCGCTTCGTTTCTCATCTCCGTGGATTCATGTCCACGGGTGATTTTGACTCCCAACAAAGCAAAGGCTTTCCCAAACAAAGCCTCTCATAATGCCCAGCCAGAAGACATCTTCGGGAAAGAGGTTTGCCGCTCCGCCGGCGAGGTCAGCGTGCACATCTTGGTTTGTTCCCCGTTCTCGAAAGCTGTCTCTATCTGTATGCCCTTGTCCCTTGACTTACGCATCTATAGCAGAGCATCGCGAGTCCGATGCAGCGGAGACACTCCGTGCGGCCGTGTAGGTTATGGTCGTGGCCATTGCTGCCAACCCATGACAAGCTTTGTGCCGCTTATCTGACATTTGCTGTAGTGTATCAGCAGAAACCAGACATGCACCTTTACGCCAAGTCGTCGTGGCCTTAGACCACGTTCAGGCCTTAAACGCAGGCCGGACATAACTTGTACGCATCGAAATGATGATTCCATCCACACAAGCGGAGTTGGTCCAATCAGCGCTCCTCTAATCCAGTTGGAACCCAGTCCCGCCGAGGACGTGAGAGGCGGCTTCCTTCCATCGCTCTACGGCGACAACCTCGAAGAATTCTGCTTTGACGATATATTTGGAGGGCCTTCAGACGACGCGTTAGAGAGCTTCTTTACCGACATTTTTAGCATCCCGTCTTTTCCGCGAGCCAAGACCGCCGATGGCCCAGTGTTGGAACCTCTTCCGTATGAGCGACCCGTCGTTCGAGGCTACAGATCCGATGATGATGTGTATGTTGAACCCCCGTTTCGTACTGTTTCTTTCATTGTTCAGTCCATAGGCGCTAGAGAGGTACGTAACTGACTCGGCTTTCTGTCTTTATTAGAATACGAGCCTATTACGAATTGATTCATCCCGCCTTCCCTATTCTTCCTCCACCGCTGGAGGAGTCGCCAGAAGATGTGAACCATATATCCGAGCCCTGGGCCCCGAACGGCCAGTTCTTTTCTGACTACGAACCTACCTCGCCTCTGGTTCTCGCTCTGCTGTCGGTGCTCACCCTTTTGCCCCACGCCAATAATGAGCATGCCTTGGAAAAGGACAGTCGTGAATGTCGGGCTACTTTCGCTCAGTCTCTAGCCCAATGCGCGCTTGAGTCAATCGAGATTGGAGCAACTCTGAATCCGCCAACATGTTGTTCCCTGTCACCATCCGCATTCCATTCAAATGTGCCGGCAGAGCTAGAGGCTCCCCTGGCCTACTGCGTCCTTAGTCTCTACCAATATCTCCATCGCGGAGAAATGACAGAAATGGTACACTTTGCAAACCAGGCCTACGATGCTTGCGTGCTTTTATCCCTACACCAGTTCGTGGAAGAGAATAATGTCTTTATGGAAGCTGTACGAAGAACATGGTGGATGACTGTAAGCGTGCAATTCGATAGCACTACCGAGAGTAAAGCCCCCTGACCGAGAATCTTTCTAGTACGTCAACATATGTTTTTCTGCAACCATAACCTGCAAGGTAACTCGCTTCCCTGGAACAGCAGTGTAAATGCATGGTAACATTCCTTCCTAGCCCCCGACACGACCCACAGATATATCCAAGTTCACGACCCCTTATCCAACGACAGGCATCACATCCACAGTACGTACTCGATCATGCTTCTATTTCCAAGTGTTTGTCATGAATAGATCTGATCGTCGGAAGAGCTTGGATTGGATTCAGTATATTCGCGCCGAAGAGACCCTGGTCGCTGCTACCCTCCTCCTGGTCGCTCTCGTCACGGGCTCCGGCTCCGACGCCGCCACGCCAGCATTCAGACGCAGTCTTTCCTTCATGAACACAGTCATAGACAATCAGCTGAGTTGTCTCTCAGTGTACAATGATCTAGAGTCGAGCGCAGATATATCTCCAGAAGACAAATTGATGCAGTCCCTCAGGGCCATGACTGTAATCAGATTGATGAGGTTAGTGTTTTGTTTTCCATACAAGGGCCTACATGGCTGATGAATTTAGTGCTCGTATCAAAACTCATAGGTATTGCGCCATGATGAGTCATCCTAGCATATTGAAGAGGTTCGAAACAGTTCCATCATGGCGCGCCCCTCATGAGATTCGTCAATCAGTTTCCACAGGACTCAACGTCGAGGGTGGAAATCAGGTCGCTCAGCTATTTCCCTTTCCATGTCAGGACTCGCTGAATATTTGTGTCGACTCTGCTTTGGAAATTGTCAATTGCCTGGCATCATTACGCAAGGATCTTCACAGTAAGTAGACTAGAAGCACACCTAGTATGCGTGCAGTCGCTAAAGAAAATCCAGTCGCACCTTTTGCCTGCTCAGCCCTTTTAGCTGCTTACACGCTCATGATGATATCATTCTTCCAGAATTACAGTCCAGAAGAAGGGGTATGCGCAATTTCTGTCACTGAACTACAGGGTCGATGCAAGTATGGTGTCAATGCTTCTATAGACACACTCGAACATTTTGCAGTTGGATTTGACTTCATTAAACTTCTTAAAGGTATGTTTTTCCTTGGATCTTTCGTGGTTGCAGGGAGTGGCTTGTTGACTCAACCCTGCATAGATCAGCTCCAAGCTGCCGCAATTGCCTGTGAGATGCGATAGATAGGTCAACGCTGGATGTTGAAGACGACTCATGTGTACACGTATGGTGTTCTTGCCTAAATTATAAAAATTCATTTCAACAGGGTACAAGAGGCAAGCTCCAGTGCTAACTGAAGTAACAAATTGTGTACTCCATGATTACCTGCTTTGTTAAAGAGTTGGGACCTCGTAACTGCTATGACATTGGAAAAGGGCAGGAGGGAATACAACGATGCGAGAGTGTATCATCCCTTCATGTACATTGAAGCAGAACAGTTTGCAAGTCTCACAGCTGCAAGTAACAATCGAACGAGGCTTGTCCTCAAACACTGATGGAAACCAATGCAGTATTGATTGGTGGTAACCCCGTATCTGGTTGATCTTGGACCAGAACTTGTTCACTTAATAAAGGTAGTACATGGCTGAACCTTCAACAACTGCAAACTCCATCCAACCGTCGGCGTTGATCCTGTCCACCCAGATAGACGCTACGTACAGGTACTCAATCGATCCACAGTTGGATACAACCAATCGCTATACACCTTCAGTTCTAATACTATACTTTCAGTTCCTTACTCTCTTTGGCGTCTCGGCTACCATTCATGTCCCCGTCCGAAACCTCGATTCCCGTCGTCAAGGTGTGGACTCCTTTCATGCCGTTGGCAGTCAACTCTGGTGCAGCAGTGGCAACCTCATCGCCGAAGAGGACACCGATCTGCTCAAGGGAGAGACCATTGGTCTCGGGGAAAAAGCACCAGATGACGCCAGTGGCGACCAAAGACGCGAAGATGAAAACTATTGCTGGGTGTGAGCACATACGGTTGGTGGAGTACGGTTTTTATCTATGCTCACCAAGGTAATACTTCCATCCAATCTTAGAAAAAGCAACAGATGCCGAACCTGTGTACAGCAATGTTGTGGTAAACAACCCAGCGACTGAAAACGAGACACCCTGTGCTCGCATCCATGTGGGGAAGATCTCGGAAAGATAAACACTACAACAAAGGTCAGCGAATGAGGAATTCGAACGGAATTACAAGCATCCATCCCTCCATCGAAGAAGGTGATGAAGAGAAACAGGAACAGAACCCCGAATCCATTGCCAATGGTGTTATCAGTACCTGCGAACCTCGCGACCATGGCGCTCTCGCATGAGATTGCGATCGCCGCCCCAGTCTAAGATGTCCCGGTCAGTACAGGAGAAGGGTGAATAACATGCAGGATACTAAACATATCATTCCGATAACCATGAGCTTTATTCGGCCAATACGGTCCAGTAATATCGCATTGATCCAGTTCATAAAGGCTGCCCAGCTGGTGTAAATTGAAAGGAGGAGAATAGCTTTCCATCCAGTAATGCCCAGGCCTTCATACAAGACAATCTGGTAGTTGTTAATAACCTACCAAATAAGTTTTGACATCAGCAGCTAGGATACCAGCAATAGAGGGCATGAGAAGGACGTACCAGGACTCCGCTACTTTGAGCTATGGCGATGACCAGGAAACCGAAAATCATTCGCTTTCTAGTGTTAGGTGCCTTCCATAATGCCAGCCAGGATCGTTCGGATGCGCGATCAAGTTCGACCTGCTGTTTGATCTGCTCGAACTCGGCATAGGCGTATCGACTGTCGAGGTCTTCGGAATAGGAATGAAGCTTCATCAAGACTTGGAGGCCTTCCTCATCCCTTCGGTTATAGATGAGATATCGAGGTGACTCGGGGATCACATGACTTCCTAGAAGAAGCATAAGCGGAGCAAGAATTTGAAACGCGATACACAGACGCCATTGTATATCGGGGTTGTCTTCAAAGTAACAGCCTAGACCAACCCAGCTCGCATCAGCCTATGCGCCACGGTCCGATTAGGTTTGCATGAAAAAGATTAGAGTTAGGCGGTAGGAGATGGGCTATACTCACATAACCAGAAGCAAGAAAAACGGCATGCATGCCAACCATTCGGCCACGTCCATGAGCAGGGGATATTTCGGACTGGTACAGGGGGCAGATGGTATCAGTCATGCCTAAGCCCAGGCCTTGGATGCCGCGTCCAGCAAGGAACATACCGATATTAACACTAGCGGTGGTAAATACGGACGCCGCAACGCAAATGGCGCAGATAATTTGGATGGAGCGTTTACGACCCATCTTGTTGGCTAGCCAGCCCGCGGTGAGGTAACCGATCAGACCACCGGCTGAATACAGACTATTCATTGCTATAGGAATGTGAGTTTTCATTCTGCCCTTTAAAGGTTTTGTTTGTTCTTAAATCAAAATTATTCAGGATATCATCAAGGTAACCCTTGTCAACCAACGTACCTCCTATCATCTGGGTACTCCAGTCGGCTCTCGGCCCCGATGTTGCCAGGTTGAAATAGCTCCAAAAGGAAGGCAGGCCAGTCTCGAGGTTATAATTGATGAATTAACGCCATAGGTAAAGGATCCAAATGCGGTGAAAAGCACCACCGCGAGGTTGTATTGATTTACAGTCTGCATATTGAATGGTTTGGTAGAATGATTAAGTGACGTGATAATCTCAACATGCAAAACTATCGAGGGAGCTCAAGGCTATTTAACTAATACACTATCGGTTGGAACTGGTGACTTACTCCTTGATAACAATAACAAGCCACGTCGAGGCCTATTTCTGATCTAGATGTCTGAAGTTGGCATTTGGGTGAGGTCTAGCTCCACAATGTCTGTGTGATCTACATCCCTGGACGCAGGGGTTGGGTGGATTGTCTACCTCCACATTATCTATCATCTAGACTAGACTTGATAAAGCTTGGCATCGCCCACACCATCTGCAATATTGGAGAAGATATGAGAGTATTTGAGATAAAGAGCGGGGAGTGACGGGATTTGGAGAAGCCCGAAGGTCTCCCAACCCTCTATTGTCAATGGTCATGTGGTTCTTGGAGAACGGGGGCGTGGTTTCTAGATAGCGTGCCGCCAGGCTGAAAACGACAAAAGCCTGTAGGTATATCTTGGCAAATTACTCGATGATCTTTTGTGAATATGTTTCCAAGGTCAGCTGGAAGGGGTGATTAATCTCAGTTCGGCGAACTCCGTGAAATATTAATTCTCCTAGACCTACTTAAAGAAACTACTGGCTGCAAGTCGTTCATATTTAATACTATCTATCCCCATTGGTTATGGTTCTATAGAATTGTGTCTGCCAATCTGTTCTTACCCTAGAGCCTCACCCCTTCCCATGTTTGTCAATTTACTTAAAATATACATTACATTGTCAATTTACTTTGAACTCTAAAAACATTCTCCTCGTCGGCTATTGCTGGCAGTTTCAACAAAATGTCTTCCTCATCTACTATTCCGAGCACAATAACGGCGCTGAAATTATTCCAGGTGTGCTTTATTCCCCAAGACTGAGAGATAAGCCATCATGACCCTAACCAGGACTCATACTACTAGTTCTACAAAAACTATCAACTTCAGAAAGACGTCAAAGTGCCCATCCCTGGCCCCAGCGAAGTCTTAGTCCGCATTTCAGCAGCTAGTTACTGCCACACTGATTATCAAGTGTATGAAGGAGTATTCTCAACCCAGCTTCCAGTGACCCCTTCACACGAAGCCTCAGGCACGGTTGTTAGTCTGGGCTCCCAAGTCCCGGATGAATGGAACGTTGGTGATCGTGTTGGAGTCATCAATTTTAGAAACCCATGCAATGCTTGCGGTGGTTGTAAGTGGTCTACTATAGTTAATGGGGCCTTGGATGCTCGTTATTGTAGTAATCGATCCATGTGTGGCATCACTGGGTCCGACGGCGCATTTGTCGAGTATATGATCACGCCTCACTCGTCTTTGATCCGGCTTCCTGCAGGACTATCATTCCAACAAGCAGCACCGTTGATGTGTGCCGGCGTACGTTTGCCCTCCAGAACTTCTGAGAATGACTTAGTAGTCGGCTGACTCATATACTACAGGCAACTGCATGGAATGCAGTCAATGTCCTGGGTGCCAACAAGGGACACACCATCGCCATCCTGGGTATCGGAGGCCTTGGAGTTTTGGCCATGCAGTTTGCCAAAGCACGGGGATACTATGTTATCGCCATTGACAATCATACTGCGGGGTTGGAGCGGGCAGCACAAGTGCCGTTGCACCTTCGGCCGGATCTTATCGTTGATTACAGCAGTCCGAACGCTGTCCAGGTTATAAATCAATTCACATACGGATTAGGTGTCCATGGTGCGATCGGCTGCACAGAGGACATCCCAGCCAACGACTGGATATTGCATCAGCTTCAGCCCAGGGGGACTTGCGTGATCCTCAGGCACCCGTCTTGCTGCTCTTGATTACCCGTCGTGTACCTGGGCCGTAGTCGTCTGATTCCACTTTGAGCAGTTTGATGATATCTCTGAGATTGAGACCCTGAAAAGCATCAATGCCAAGGCTATCAAGTGTCTCGCAAAAGGTACGGTAGTCCCGAAGTTGATGTGGCATGCGCCTGAAGAGGTTCCGGAGTCCATTTTGAACGCTATAATTGATTGTTTCGAAAAAGGGGATGCCGGCATGGATAAATGATGTTTTCTCTAACCCCGGTGACCACGTAGCCACCAGATATTTGAAATGGGGAATGGTGTTTGGGTAAACGAGATAAGACTTCCCTCCTATGATGACCGTGATGGTACCATTGCCATGCCTGGAGTCTTGACTGGGGCCGAATCTTCCGTCTCTGTTATCGGGTTCCACTTCGAATACAAATCGTCTGGCAGCATCTTCCTTGAGTCGGTCTTGGACAAAACAAGTTGATGCCATGCTGCGCTGCATTTGACCTGGACAGGGCCATCAGAGCGTTTGGCAACATCAAGTATCTTCGCAATCACCGCCGCTAGTTTTTTTAGAGTGCCTTCGTTATATTGCTCCCACCGCTTCATACTTTTGGTCACATCTTCAACGACAGGAGGCTGGAAAAGGCCACTAGTGTGGTAAGCTCTCACAATTTTGGTGGTTTGCGATGCCCAAAATTGTGGCATGATACCTTCCATCTGCAGGGTCTTGTGGGCGACTCGGGTATTAACCTCCCGGCATTGCTCTGACGGTACAGCTACTCCCTCCATCGCCACCTATATGACTCTTGTGGTGGCTTCGATAGTGACAAAGAGGACAGTTCGTGAGCAAGAATGCTGCCTGTATCTGCCCCTCCGACTGGGGAGACATAACCATCCACCTCATTTCTGACGAGAAACTTGAGACCACCAAAGCGATACTAAACAATTCTGTAATGCCCGCTGCTTCCCTGCATCTGATCTTTTGTGTAGGCCTTCTCAAACTCGTGGCCGTAGCCCCGGAACTCACTTGGTGCGATGTATCGCCTGACCTCTTCCCCCTCGCGGGAGAAAAGAGCCGTCTCGCCAATGAGTTCGACTTTGATGACGAATTCCTCGACCCCATCCCTTGAGGTGTCTTGGTCGACAAAAGAGAGCAGATTTCGAATATTGTTCCGGTCCGTCACGACGTCGACCGATCGAAGGTCAACCTAGAGGTCGGTGAGGAGCAAAGCGCGAAACAGAGGTTCGAGCGAACTTTCGGGATGGCGGGCCACGTTTTGCGCCGCGTAAAAGTATCCCGTACCCTTTTTCACCTGGATGGGACCGTTGGGTGGTGAACATTTGGCAGGACTGCCTGGGACGGCGATGGTGGGCGTTGGAGACTCGATCCAGTTGTAGGACGCGAGGTGACGGAATTCTGTGATGCGAGCGTCGGGAGGCATGACCATTGTCGCCAGGCATGAGAGACGAATCTCAGTAAGTGAGTCCATGGTAGAAGGGATATGACTGTATTGGTGAAATCGCTAGATGTCGCGTGTATAGCAGAGATCTTGGTCTTGATAAATGGGAGAGTAAGACCGCTATAAGACCGAGACGAGCTAGAGTCAAAACCTACAACAGAAACGACACTCTTTGGACTTTAATCGAACCTCGCAACGGAAATGTGTACTTCTGTGTCCTGTCAGCTGGTCAAGGCTAAATAGGAGGGTTGCTATGCCGGAGGCCCACCACTGAGTATGTTTAGGCACCTAGGTATGTGCGTTCTCGGTGATCAGTAGTGCATGTACACGTCACATGTAACATTTGCACCTAACCACGACGCCCCGGTGTAAAATATTGGCCAATAACTGCTATTGTATCAATTATAGTGGTGGCTATAGCTGCTTATAGAAGCCGTACAGCGCCGTTACGGTGACCAATCGTAACATCACACCTCTATCCGAAGACATGTGATAACAGAAAAGAGAGACGATGGTACACTACAAAATATACAATAATTGATTTTCCTCTCAATTCCGTTGACGTGAACTAAGCACGAGCATTGAGAGTTGGCAGCTGATATGATCTTCGAAGCCATTTAGAGATATATTGGCCCTGAGTCCTGTTATTCTTAGAAAGAGCATCGACGATGAAGAGCAATTTAAAGAAGCAAGTACGTGTTAAGTAAATACTGAGTTGCTTGTCCTGGCAAATATCATTTAGTAACTTCAGCAAAATCAACACGCAACTCGAATCTGAATGATCGTTATCGATATAGGTAATACTATTTACTATTGTGCTAGTCTAAGTCACTATACTCACTCAGTCAAAAGCTTGCATAGCTTTCCATGCAGTGTAAGGCCGTTCCACGATCATTTCCTTGGCTGTGGGCAAGGCCGAGCGACCCTCCCCAAATCTAATACTCGACCTCATAATCTCGCGCCATCTCCTGCCAGGAGCAATCTTGCCCGAGATAGTATTAGGCACTAGGCTGTCACTATTGATAGGAACCAGGGCTGATCGGCCCAAGATAGCCTCCATGGCTTGTTGGGCAAAGGAAACTGCCTCCTTGGCATCCGATGGGACTCCGGTCTCGTCTAGCGCCCGAATCTTTGTATCCGGAAGCTGCTCCCTGAGATATTTGATGATGGTAGGGTTTCGGGCACCACCGCCGCACATATAAACCTCTGCAATCTCATCCACGCTGATGCCGAAGCGAGGGAAGAATGTGCGGTATTGCTTGATGATGTTCTGGGCCGTCACCCGAGTAATGGTTGCTAGTGTGTCGTACTTATCGCACCCAGCAGCAAGACACTCGTTAATCAGTTCTTGGCCTTCGTTGTCCCCAAATGTCTCCCGTCCTGTGGTCTTGGGAGGAACGTGGTTGCAGTACTTGTTTGTACTCAGAAACTTATCGACAATGTCCTGGCGCACGGTGCCTCTGGAGCTCCATTCGCCATCTCTGTCGTATTCCATCTCGCCGTTAGTGAAATATCTCATGGCGTTGTCAATGAACATGTTGCCCGGGCCACAGTCCCTAGAGATGTCAGTCGCTTCATTAGGGTGCTATGTAGAGGATTTCTCACCAGTCCACCATTGCGTCCACTCCGCCCTCGGAATCAGGGGGGATGACACAAAGATTGGCAATTCCGCCAATATTCTGACAGACACGCCATTTGGTCGGGTGATGAAGCAGAAGGCCGTCAATCAGAGCAACCAATGGGGCACCCTGTCTACCCACGGCTTGCTCTGCCATTCGGAAGTCTGTGACAGTTGTGATACCGGTCATGGCACTAATAACTGTGCCCTCCCCAAGGCAAAATGCAGAACGTGTCTCCCCCTCTTCCGGCATGGATAGAAGCCAAATGGTCTGTCCATGTGATCCGATGAGGTCAATGCTGTCCATCGATATCTCGTGTTTATCGCAAAACTCTTTGACGGCATCACCAAACATCTGTCCAAGTTGCACATTGAGTTGCGACATTTTTGAGGGAGTCGTCTTCGTCTCCCGAAGCATCGTGAGAACGGGTTTCTTGATCCATTGAGGCACGGGGATCTCATCATACTAAGTATATGGTCAGTACCAGACGAGTAGATAGATACCGCGAAGTGAAATATACTTTAATGAGCTCCATGTGTAGAGGGGCATCCGGAGACTCTTGGTAATATCGAACAAGTGCACAGTCGATACCGTCCATGGCAGTGCCACTGTTCATTCCCAGGACGGTCAAGTCAAGCGCACCAGTGGTAGATGACCGAACATGGCCATTTCCATTGGAGGAATTGCCATTGGATTCATGTGGTTGACCGTTGGTAACGGAACGGCTCCCATTTTGCTGGGTTTGTGGTCGTGTCATGGTGAGATGATATGTTATGAAGTTTGTGGAAACCTTAGCAATATCTCTGCGAGATAGATCAGGTGAGATAATATGTTAAGTTCAGTATGTTCGAGATCGTTGAATAGCCTCGGAATTTGTTCACGGACATGACTGCGCATTTAATATAATGTGGTATTCGATGGCGCCTCGATACGAATCGCATTGAGAATCCCCTGTTTGGAAGTTCGTGACGATGAGCGAAGAGCAATAGCAATTAGTAAACTTCCCGGAGGAGATGTTCCTCCGTTAGTGACTAGCTTACTCCACAGAGGGATTGCAAGCTCTAATTTCTTAGTATTTACACTAGTTTAACCTCTTTCGAGTCGAAGTGCCTTTTTGGGCAAGTCGTCTCGATGCTGAACCCGAGGCGCGAACTGTAATTATTTCCGTGTTGTCTCCGCCAGGAACCAGAATCAAATTGTCGGAAAGTTATCTAATCAATTGACAAATGCAAGTCCTGTAGAAAGGGCATAGAACCTATTTATTCTCGTCATAACACGACCTTGAATTTCTCATCCTGTTGCTTGACAATAAGGGACAGTCAGCGAAAGAGTATGCATAAAGAAATGGCAATCCCTCGGTCTGTGTGGACGTCCGACCATGGCAGCATGGCGCACGAGACTGCCAAATCTCGCTGGCCTAAGCTTGTGCAGGGCATGATCGATGATGTCCGTGTTACCGGCGCTGAGCTTGCTCCATCCCGTGCACTTGACGAAATCAATTCGATAGAGAGAAGCCTTGAAAGACTCAGAGAGGAAATTACTGGTGATGATCACCTGTGGTGAGTGCTCCTTATGAACTTCTATCGTCGGTATATCACTAAACAAAGCTCAGTCCCCTCGAAGATGATGGCTCGGCAGACATTGCGTCGTACAATCAGCTTCTCCTTAATATGGGCGAGTTGACCTGGCTCAACTGTCCATGGTTGTATGGTGAATGCTACCTGTATAGGTCAGTCTTGGAGTTGTTGTGTGCCGCCAAATGATGCTAACTTCTGCAGGCGAGTGCAGCTGTTATTTTCCATGTCATCTTACTGGAAAGGGTACGATGTGTTTAAACGTCAAAAGGATTCTACCCTTGTCAAGTCGCAGAAGGCCGTCCAGGAGCTGGCTAGCAGGGTCACTCAAGTCATCGCGAACCCGATACAGCCACTCCAAAGCTTGGACGACGATGCAGCGAGACTTGTCTTTTCTGAAATGACCGAGCTGGCTTTATGGGGAAACGCAACAGATCTCTCTCTTCTGACCAACCTCAGTCTGGAGGAAATTCAGAAGTTACAAGGAAGCGCAGCGATCGAGGAGAGCCAGCGGAACATTGTCGACAATGATACATCACATGTGTGGCATTATCTGCGAAAGACTCAGTTGACTCAAAAAAATCGACATATCGACATCGTTCTTGACAATGCTGGATTTGAGCTATTTGCAGACGTCCTCTACTCGGCATACCTCATTGCATCTGGACTCGGAACGAGTATCACTCTCCATGCGAAATGTTTTCCCTGGTTTGTCAGCGATGTATTACCCAGCGATATGGACTTCCTCCTCGACCATCTGCGGTCCACAGGTTTGAATTCTTGGGCCACTCAGATCAAGAGGTATCTCGAACTCGGCTTAATGCGTATCGAGGTTCATTCGTTTTGGACGACGGCTTGGTCATTTCATGAGATGGTCGCTGTAGCACCTGATCTATTTCAGCGTTTTCAGGACAGCTATTTGACTATATGGAAAGGAGACTTGAATTATCGAAAGTTGACCAGAGACGGTCTCTGGCCACACACAACGACTTTCAAGTCTTCGCTTGGTTTACTAGGGCAAGGAAGTGGTGTCAAGGTCCTCGCGTTGAGAACAAACAAGTCCGATACTTGCGTTGGAATAGAAAGTGAGGAGGCTGTCAAGAGACTTAACCGGGAGGCACCCGGGATGGGATGGGTTAGGGATGGGAAACATGCCGTGATATCATTCAGCGACGGCGTCTGAGACAGATAATGTACTACTAGCATTTTGACCACTCCTCTCGCAAAACATTGATTATCCAGGCAGTTGGCCAGGCATGCGATGACTCGAGATCCTCAAGCATGCTTACCAGGCTTGTTTGCTCTCGCTCATCTGTCATCAAGGGACCCCCTTTCGTAGGTTAGAAAATTCTGAATTTTAACAAGATGGTACAACCTACAAATAAATGTAGAGTGGCATAATGTGATGAGGGATGGCACAGTTCCCGGCGAGCCTTTGCATGCTCCACAAAGGGCTCGGGCGTGCTCCATGACAGACTCCTGAGGTGATGTCAATTGAGGCAAGTTACTCTATAAACCATGAACTCACAAGAGATTCCGGCAGGGTTCGGCGGACATTTCGAATGGCAAATCGCGGAGATGGACGGTAGACCTTTAAAAGCATCCTAGCTAGGTGGTAGAATCCAAATGCCATAACTGATAACCATCAGGTTCCATGGACTAACGGGGAATTGTTCAGGAATTTGTGCCTACCATGCCAATCTGCTGTAAACCAAATCTCTGGAAAGGGATCTGCTCCCAGCTCTGGTTCTCCAAAATATATTGGATCAAACGTACTCGGCTTTGTCTG